GCTCGTACTCGACTAGGATTCTTCCCAAATGAAAGAATCCAATTCTAACCAAGTTCACTCAGAAAACCGTTCATAGCATAATCAATTTTTCATACTCCATATAGTTCAAACATCTCAATCATCATACAACATATTCATTCAGTCAATCCAACGCACGCGCATACATCACATAATCATATAAATTAAATTAAATAAGCTTCCCTTACCTCTAGCGTGAACGAGCGTACAAGCTATAGGATGCGGTTTATCTGACTAAAATTCTTCTACCCTCAACGTTCAATCGACTCTTCACACCAAAACAAACGACAGACAAACTAGTTCAGAAGGATACTATGAACTCATGCAACCAGGAGTTTGTTTGCATGTTCCAGGGAACGAACGACTAAAGGAGAAAAAGACTTACCAGATCAGAACTCGAAACTGTTCGATTCAAATTGAAGCTTGGGACACCGAGAGTGGTCCTATAGTGCCTGAACGGTGATCGGAGTAGAGAAAGAGTGAGTTTTGGTAGAGAGAAGGGAAAGCTTCTAGAGAGAAGGAGGAGAAAAATGTGAATTTCAGAGTTTGGGAAGAAGGGTGCATGCAGAAGAGAGTGGGACGGAAGTTTCAGAAAAATCAGTTTTCTTCCCACGTCAAAACGAGCGTCCGCTCATCTGCCGACACCTGCCTTCCACTATCTGATTTCTGATCCTCGTTGCTTGACACCTGGCGTCCGTGCAGAGGGGTTTTTGGGTGCGTTTTAATGAGGTCTGACAGCGGGTACCCGCGGGGCGGGTAGTATACTACCCGTACCCGACCGGTTTAGAAGCGGTATTAAAATACCCGCTACCCGTTACCCGCGGGTAGTAAATATCCGCGGATAGTTACTACCCGCCGCGGATTTTACCCGCGGATACCCGTGCCCGCGGGTAAAATTGCCATCCCTAGTCTTGATATTCTTCACTTTGTAACATCATCAAAATCATTGTTTTCAAGACACTAATGTTCCTCATTGGTAACAAGATGATATAAACAAGATTTATAATAATAACATTAAATTATTATAGGTTTAATCATTTAGATGGTCTCTATTTTCAGTGACTTTTATAAATTAGGTCCCTCACTTTTTTTTTCTTGTTTTAATTGGGTTTCAATTTTTGAAAATTAAATCAATTAGGTCATTGTCGTTAGTTTCGTACTAACAACGTTAAAAAGGATGTCACATGTTAGCTCATGTTTTTTTATTAATTTTTTAAATATTTTTTTATTATTTTTATTTTAATTTTTGATTTATTATTTTTAAATTAAACAAATTTGCTATGTGTCAAACTGACATTGTGCCACGTGACAAAAAAAAGTGTGACGTGGCACTGACAGTGTCATGTGTCATTGTATTTGTCTTAATTTGGTCCATATATTTTTATTTTGTCTAAATTTGGTCCCTGTATTTTTATTTTGTCTTAATTTAGTCCTAATTTTTTTAACAATTAAACAGTTTCAATAATTTCCAAATTGAAACAAATTTTAACTTATATATAAATCTTTACAAAATTTTTTATACAAATTGATATTTTTTTATTAGAAAAATAAAAAAATTACGAACTAACATATGACACATTTTTATTTATGTAGTAGTAACAAAAATAACTTAATTGCAATAAAGTTTTCAAAACAAAAACTAAATTGAGACAAACAAAAATAAAGAAACTCATTAAAAAAAATTCTACAAAATTAAACAACAAATGAAATCATTTAACCTAAATAATATGAATGAGCAAACTATAAAAATTAACATTTCATTAATAAATATTTTTGTGAATATGATCTACACAAAAATAGTCTTAATACTTCCTAAAAACTTTCTCGAGTTAAACATTAGGACATGGAATACATCATCACTAAAACTTCGATTAACAGAAACAGATTTAAAGACAAGAATTTGGAAATGTACATACCGTTATTTCCTTTAGTTGAATCTTTCTAAAATTATTCTATGCGTAAACTTTTGTCAAAACTCTTTCGAGAAAAAACATTATATTTATTTAATCTTTTAATCATTTAATGCAAGGACCAAATTGAAACAAAATTAGAGCTGTCAAAATGGGCCACCCGACCCGGCTCGGCCCACCACGGATTGGTCACTTAGTGAGTCAACCCAACCCGGCTCATTTATTAGCGAGCCTGAAAAATTCAAACTCGGCCCGACCCACCACGGGTTGATGGGTAAACAGGTTGACTCACTGGCTCATTTAATTACAATTTTTTTTAAATAAAAAAATTACAAACTTTCTATAATTCAAATCTAAACAAATTTCACTCCCAACATGGGTGTTTAATTAATTTTGAAAATAAGGAACTTAAATAATTTTTTCAAACAAAAACAAAAAAATAAATATATTTTTATAAAATTAAATTAAATTTTAATAAAACCCAGTCCACCACGGGTTCAACCCGCATGAGCCGGGTTTAAATGAGTCGGGTTAAAATCTGACCCGCATAAAAAAATACAATTTTTTCAAACCCAACCTGGCTCAAACCCGTGGTGGGCCAGGTTGGCCTGCAGGTTGTGATCCATTTTGACAGCTTTAAACAAAATAAAAATACAACGGCCAAATTAAAACAAAATAAAAATACAAGGACCAAATTGAGATAAACGCAATGACAAATGGCCTGACAGTGACACGTGACATTATGAGTGTCACGTCACACTATCATTGTCAAATAGTACAATGTCAGCTTGACACGTGGCATTTTTTAAAAGAAAAAAACACGGGCTGACACAAACCTAATTACGTCGATTTTTTATAAATAAGGATCCAATTGAAATAAAAAAAGTGAAAGACCTATTTGAGAAAAAAAATCGAGACTATCTAAAGGATTAAACCATTATTATATTATAGTAAATGCTGAAAATAATTTAACTTGTTAACACTATTACTTCATACTTTATTTCGTAAAATTTTCAAGTCTATTAATCGCCTTAAAAGAGTTTGATAAATGAGTTAGAAATTTTATTTGGACTGAAAACATTTCTCCCATGTTTACATCAATATTTATCTCACGTACTCAAACATAATCATCATATTTATCAAGCAACATCAAAACAAAGAGGTAAACTTCCATTTAATTACTTTTATTTTAAAAAAATTAAGAATTTTGACGAAATACATTCATTGTCTACCAAAAACACATAACACTAAATGAGTATTGAAAGGTAATCATACATATTTTGCATGGTTGGCAACCATATGTATTTAGTACAAAAATCACTCATTATAAAAAAAATTATATAAGTTATTATCCACTTTTTATAATAACTTTATATAATTATATTAGTTATAATCCACTTTTTATAATAACTTTATATAATTATATTAGTTATAATCCACTTTTTATAATAACTTTATAATGAGTGACAAGATGACATAATTATGATACTTAATAAAAAATTGGATGGAATGATATTTTTATAATAAAGAATAAAACTTTATATATTAGTTCTAGTTATAATTGGATTATATGTATTTTTATAATCGATTAATACAACAAGATTTATGCACATTTGTTCTTTTATGCAACTAAGACTCTTTCATACATGGATGTGCATATAAGACTCTATCCTATATTATTTTAATTTTATTATAACAATTTTAACAATTTTATTACATGGACGTGCATATAAGACTCTATCTTATATTATTTTAATTTTATTATAACAATTTTAACAATTTTATCACTTTAAGAAAGAACATTTTACATAATTCATCATGAAAAATACGTTTACCATACTCAAGATAACTCAAGATAACTCCCACTCTCAGCAAACATTAAGATTATTATCTTATAAATCATCAAAAGTTGTATAAAGTTTCATAAAAAATTAAAGATGCATAACTTTTACATTTATTTTTGACCTTTTATTTTTCTTTAAATTATTTATTTTCGTTTTAATTGTTTAAGATGAGTTAAAGATGATATTAATGTTTGTGTTTATAGTTCTTTTTATTTTTTCTTTTTCAGAAATTTTCTTTTGTGATTTTAAATCTTTTAATAAAGTTATATTTGAATATTATGCTAATACTAAAATTTAAATTGCATTATGTTGCACATATTAAAAAAATTAATATGTTTTATGTGTTCAAAAGTATTTTAAGTATTTATGGAACTCTTACTTTTAAAGAACATTTTTTCTTTAAAAAAAATAGGTTATGAATTAACCCTTACAAAGTTGTTGTGTGGACTTTCTTAGGCAAATTTTAGTTCTTTAGACCTTTTCTTTTACTTAGTGTAAGTGGTTAGCGACTGAATCAAATTAATCGGTCTATTTTCTATTAAAATTTGGTTAAATGTCACTAACCTATTTATGACTGCATATAATGGATTTTTGCCTTGCAGGATTTCTTAAAGTATTTATAATTTACGACACTGACGTAGATATGGGTATGTATAATTAAGACTGTATATATGAATAATACAATTTTTTTTACCTGTATCTGTTTTTGAAAAATAAATTCGAAAGTATATTTTGTAAATATCTTGTACACTTAGAATGGTTTGGTCATATATAATGTATTTAAAATATTTCATATAATGATATCAATATACAAAACAAAAGAATTGAGATAGTAATGATTTTTCTATTATAAAATTATCGGAACCAATTTCTTCTGTTGATTGTTTTTAAATTAAAAAAAAACATTACTTTCTTTATATTATATATTTTAAAAGATATAAATATTAATAATATTATAACATTAATATTTATAAATTAAGTTCAAATCACTAATTATAATAAAATAATTTAACTTGTAAAAATAATACTTTTAAATTTCTTTAATTAAAAATAGTAATTAATTAATTACTTTGTAAATATATAAATATAAAATAAAATTAAAAGAAATTATAGTACTGATTTATTAACCTAACTTTTTAATAAGATAAATCAAGATTTTCAGTGTAGACATCGCCAACATACTAGCACTGGCTTCTCTCCATTTTCTCTTTCCCGCCTTTACAAAAATTGACCTTGCGCCACCTTTCAAATTCGCCTTCATTTTCCCACTATTTTTTCTCGGAAAAAAAGCGTGGCTAGAAAACATCGGAGAGAAAGAACCGTTCCTTTAGTCCAGTTCAATTCAACTACCCACCGTACACGATGGTGGACGGCGGAGAATTCGCCGGCACCATTTGCTCGATCTGTTATGAGCCTCTCAACCCCATTACCGAGGACCTCCAATCGGTTTCCATCTGCGGCCACGTCTTTCACGAGCTTTGGTAAGTCCCTTCTACCCTTTTTGAGTTTTTCCTCCGCTGATCGACGCAAACGCCGTTAAAGTTCCGTTCTTTGCCTTTGTTTTGATTTGGGTGTGTTTGTTTGCAGTCTGCAGCAATGGTTCGAGTACTCTTCGAAAGGGAAGAAACACACTTGCCCCATTTGCAAACAGAGTTGCGGGGCCAATGACGCGTGCAGGCTTTATTTTCAGTCAGTGGGGGACCCGAGCGATGGCGGGAAGCTTCTGAAGAGCTTTGAATCTGAGGAAAATGTCGGGCTTCTGCGTACGGAAGTGAAGAGATTGGAGGTGAAAGTTTCGGGGCTTAATTCTGAGCTAGAACGGCAAACAAAGGAATTAGAAGGAGTTAAGCAGGAGGTGCTTTTATTTAATTTTATTTTGTGTTTTATTGTGTTATTTATTCTGTTTTATATATGGGTGTGTTTAGTAGGAGACTAAGAAGGACATTGACGGATATTGTGGCGAATAGTATTTCTAGAATTTGTTCTTTAATT